ATAATAGTTTCAATGGCTCCAAGAAACGACATGAGCATATGGAAGCCACCTAATCTCACAATTACACCTTTCATATAAATTTGTTCATTCGCTACCAGTTCCCTCGCCTTCACGTATAGCGGCTGATCGAAGGTCACAAAGGATGTTTTTTGATTGAGCCGAAGGCATTCCAGATGAGCATGATTCAAAACTGTATTTATTGTATCCAAGTGTGATGGTGGCAAATTTACGAACGGCAAACAGTAGACCTGAGCAACTTGATATTCTGAAGGATGGCTCAGAGCTTCCATATAGCCCCTCCGACTGGGAACATTGGGAATATGCAAAAATTTAGCCAAAATGTGGAGGGTATAAGCGGCTGGTAATCTATCACACTCACCAGTTAGAAGTTGGGACACATCAGTAAATGTTATCGACTTCAAACCTAGGTTAGTATTGGCCAATCGATCGCAAAAAACTACCGGAATATTGTATTTCGAAGCCAATTCCTGAGCCTTTGGGGCACGATTCAATTTTCTAATGACTCCTCGGGTATTCACTCCAGTTTTGGGAGTTACACAGCAAATGCCTCCCATGCTGTGAAACGTATTGATCCCATCTAGAGTACAGACGTTGTGATCCGCGTTGTCACACACGTGTTGAATGAATGCGTCGTTTTCTATTTTCTTATCACAACTCATTATGGCTGAAGCTTCATATAAGCTAAGATTAGTATATGATGAACAAAATCCAAGCTTATTGCATACATCAATTATCAACCGAGAGCCAAATTTTCGACTCAGATAAACCCCAGCTGCTAGTTGAATGGATGAAATGAATGACCTTGGACGGACAGCAGATATAATCGAATGAGCAATGCTATCGCGTTTTGTTCTCAATTTTGTTTCCCCAGTTTTTTTACCTTTTAGTAGCACATCGTCCAAGAAAGTCAGCAGAGTTTGTGGGATATCGGCAGCGACATTTTGCAGTAATTCTTCAGGGCGTGGATAGGATTAAGTCCCGTATGCCTGGCTCCGGATGTCTTCTCGTATAATAACAGCAGCAGCGCAAACAATGCGAATCCTTTCGTCTTCTTGGATATGTTTCTGCTTCTCATTCTAAAATTTCTCCACAATTTTGTACCCAGTATTGCGGAAACAGATAACTGTCGGTTTCGGTTGTCTCTCCACCATTACAATTTCAGTCCCGTATTTGTTGATGAGTTTCTGCTTTAGAATTGTTGTTGTCGTTGTCCAGCGTTCCATTTTCTCCAGCAATTCCTTGAAGGTGAATTGGCAATCGTCACTTTCCTCCATATAACGGCACACACCTTCAAAAGCAGCGTCTAAAGCCGGTAATCTCTGCTTTTCACCTTGATTATTTTTACGGGGCCGAGTGAACTGATCCCAACACGAACTATGATACCGACCGTTTTCCTCGATTAATATTTTTCCCTCGATCCTGCGTTTTACCTTATCAGACCATTTGTCATTGCGAAGTTCAATGCAATTTTCAATACGTTCTTGGGCTTTCGACGTACATACCAATTGTCCAGGTTTATTTTTTGGGATCCAGGGCTTATTACACAGGAAACAATGGACCTCAAAAGAGAATGGCGGTTCAGGAGTAGGTTCAGGGGCTGCTGACTCTGGTACATCACTGGCTTTTTTATTTGGTAAACTGTAATTCACCCGACATTGTTCATGCACTTGTATTTCTGTCACATTTTCCAAACACTTCTAGTTATCGTCCTTCTCCCATGTACTCCTGGCAATAAAACTATTAATGCCTTTCTGCTTCACGACTCTTGTTGGGCCGCCGTTGTCCAGTTTTCCATCACAAATGAAGCAATGGAGTGGATGAGACATATTGAGGACGATAGATAATTCCAACACAACAATAACGATAACAATTAATTGTTCATATGCAACTCCCAATACTTCGATCCGTCAGCTACGAAAGACACAAGGAATGTGAAGATCCCAAGTTTCCCCTCGATAGCCAGTCCCGTTTTACAATAGACGATGCCTGCGGTCCAGGCAGATGGAACGACACCTGCTCCTCAAAATACTAGTGGAGGGGTACAGGTAAGAAAAAAAAGACCCAACGATATTTAGGACTAGAACGACTACACCACTTGGAATTTCCCCACGCTATTTTATATTCGTTTCTTGATGTGAACAGTTTCACGTCTTCAAGCGATTTGACTAGAAACTAAAAATGAGCGAGTTTATATACATTTCGGGAATAGGGAAGAAGTGGGCAAGAGGTAGGGGGGGTATCCAGGTAATTAATTTAGTACACGAGAAAANTTTAGTCCCTATTGAAATACTTTCCAACCTGGGTGACTCACAGGTATACACATTGTCCACGTCAATCCCTCGCCAGTCCCTCACCGTGCTCAGCAGGGGGCCGCTAGCAAGGAGGAGGAGTACCACAAGGACTAGCTAATATTGTGAATAATATTACGCGGTAGAAAAATCCAGAAGCTATTATGGAAAAGGTCACTTGCCCTTGAGAGACCCAGGTATTCCATTTATAAATGAAAACAAGAATTATAAATAAAATGGATTTGTTTTTCAACTGTTAGTTTTAAACTTTTCTAATGTTTAGTTATATTTATTTGTGAAGTACAGATTTAAATTTCAGGTTAGGATTTATGAGGGAACTCACCTTTTAATTAGAATTTTTTAAATTATTTAGATAGCAAAGTTTGGCCGAGAAAATGAGAAAATTCAATGAAATTTGTTTATTTGTAATGCTGCAGGAGCGCACTTCAGGTTTGAATTGCCTGCGCATGGCGGGAGTCACGTGACTCAGGCCCCGCCGCCAAGAGGCGTGGCGTCTCGGTCAGCTGATCGTTTGACGTGAAATCGCCAAAGAATTCTTGAAAAATTTATCATAAATTAACCGTGCATTTTTACATATCGATTCCTAACTGTATTTCAAAGTAAATTTTATTCGCTTCAAGATAGTATTTTTATTTTTGATATTGAGTGAGAAATATCCGAGAAATACTGAGTTAGGAGCAGTCAGACGCATTTTTCGATAGTTTTTAATTAATTATAAATTTTCCTTACATGGATGAGTTTAAACAAACTAGTATGTTGATCATGGAATCATAAGCTACCGATTGGTATAAGTTTCATCGGTTTCAAGAGGTCTTGATATGCACAATGCATCAAAAATCTAGAATGACTGGTCTAGTATACAAGTTCATATTTTGTAAAAATAAAGTTAGTCTTTAAGTTATTAGTAACGAGGAAACAATCCATACTCACTTCAGTTGTATCTAAATCTTGTAACAACGTCTCATAGCCATTTTATATTCATGAATATTTAACTAAAAAAAAACCATCGTCCTCCGATTTAATAATCCAAATTCAGTAAATCAGTGTAAAATCGTCTCAAATATTTATTTGCTTCATTAAATTATTGAATAAATATATTACGTTGTCTTTAAAATATACCGTTTAGCATTTTTTAAATTAATAACGTAATCCAATCGTTTGGTTCCTTCATTTAAGGCCAAACATCAACCATGCAATGAATTATTAACATTCGCAGTATCTCAAAAAACTAATGGACCAATTGAGCTGTAATTTGGCAGGTAAGTGCCTCTTAACAATGCCAATTATGGGGCGAAATTCCAGCTTTTATTAGCTATCACTTCAATACTGTTTTGTGAAGAATTCTTGAAAGATTCTCAGAATTTCGAACGCACATATGGACGTACACAAACATTTTCTAAAAACAAAATATCTCGACGTTTCATAACATTCCAAGTAATTCCCAAGTAAAATTAGAGAATCAGAACATATATCGATTACAAAGCTTCACTACGGAGCTAAAATGAGATTTCAAAAGTGGAAAATGTTGAACGAGTGAATTAGTATAATTCAACACTAAGCGGTGAGGAAGTTCTATGAAGAATTGGGAAAAATTCGACAGTGTTGGAGAAAATTCGACGTTTTTTCTGAAAATTCGATCAAATTCTTGCATCTTTGAAGAAATTCTTGAAAATTCAAGGTGTTTGCATTCTTCAGCGAGGAAAGTGAACATTTCTGGAAAGTTCTGGAGAATGCAAGGAATTCCTAGAAAATTCTTAAAATGTCAAGAAGTTCCTAAAAAATTCGAGGGAATACAAGAAGTTTCTAGAAAACGCAAAAGAATTCACGTAGTTTATAAATATTTCGCAAGAATTCAAGGAATTTCAAGAAATTTTTGGAAAATACAAATACCCTGGCAGGGTGTTTGTAGAGAAATCGAGGGATTGTAAGGAGTTCCTAGATAATTCAAAAGAATGCACGGAGTTTTTAGAAAATTCGACAGAATTGAAGGAATTTATAGAAATTTGGGGCGAATTCAAAAAGTAAAACCCAAATTCACTAATTTAATTCTATTATAGGAATACTTGAGAATGAGTCATATAATAAATTTTATGAAAATTGTGAAGCTACTGATTTTTATTTCAATTTCTAACCTATGTAAACCACCAAAGAATGAATTAACAAATAATTGTTAATTCAAAAATAAGATGCAGAAAAAACAGTTGCCCGGGCAATGCCGGACACACCAGCTAGTTGTCCATATTTATCATTTTTATTTCTTGAGAGAAAAAAAAATGTTGATCGGATTGGAATGCGTCAGAAAATGTATTAGAAACATTGAATAATATTGAAAATTTCATCGCCATTATATTGTCAAATATGTCAGCATTTATTTGCAAACACATACCACTTACCCTTTATGTAGGCGTGGATGTGGCTATTCCATAATTTTCATTTTATTAAAAAAAATGCAATCAGCGATTCATCGAACCATTTTTCAACTTTCTATTTTATGTAAAAAAAAAAAGATTGAACATAGATATCACTTCTTCCTATCATTTTTATTTACCTTCCGATCCATTTCAGACATTTCATTTCACAATTTTTCTGTCAGTTTCATTGCGTTTTCGATGCAAAATTAAAAAAATTAATTGATTTCGTGTGGAGGACTTAGTGGCAAAAATGATTTACCGTCTTCCCCAGGCACCAGTTTCAGGAGCAGCTGGTGGCTTAGCGCTTAGAGTTGGAAAATACTCTTCACTACGAATGTCAGGAGCAATATTTTTCATTCTACTCGAGCGTGTGCTAGGTGATGATGTTGTTTGATGTCTCAAATGTGGAGATTTGTATTTTCCTAGACCAGCCGCATTGGCTGCCGGTGCTGCTGGAGCAGGTGTAACTTCAACTGAGTCCACGGGTTGAGGTGGCGTATCGGCCTTGTTCCAAGGTCCAGCCATTTTTGAACTTGTTTCTCCGCACTCTCCATCTGAACTGTTTTCACCTGTACCTCGTTCATCATTACTGTCATGATCATGATTGTCACTGACCGTTAGATTTCCAATTTTAAGACCTGAGTAATCTTTCTTTTCCTCCTCAAACTCTCGCCATTCTTCCTCTTCCTAAAAGAGCACAGACAGAATCGAGGGATCAACAGAAAGACATAAAGTTTCTTTTTTTCTATCATTATTCAAAATATTGTCAGGAAACAAATTTACAGTAATGAACATCAATTCGAATGAGAATTATCCAATCAGAATTATCAAAGAAGTAAAGGAATGATATGTATAAACGCAAATCTCAAAAGCATGCGTGCAATTTGAGTTTCAAGAAAAATTGGACAATTCAATTAAATTTTCTCTCTGAATGAAATACAATGATCTGTTGATGTGTACGGAACTGGAAATAGTCAATACCGTTAATTATATAACAACATGCTGGAAACTTCCTCGATTTGCAAACACCATAAATGCTGCAATACTGCAATACTGCACGTCCATGTAGATGACCCTGAAGTTTGCAGACAAAAATTTTCAACAGAGCATCTGATAAAGAAATTGAGCAATGAGAAAATTTCAAATTTCAATTTGTCGGGTGTGTTGAAATCTAATCGTGATGGCGGCTGAATATGTAAATAAATAAATTAGGGGTCGATTTCTTCAAAATTTAACTATGGAAAACCATTGACACGGCATATCTCACTCCGGAATTATTTTATTGGAAAAAAAATATGGTCACGATTTTCATTCTACGAAATTTCAACGTGATTTTTGTCTTTTTTTTCTGGTCCTATCGGTTAACGGTAAATCCGCTGTAGAACACTAAATCGTAGGCAAGGTCCATTATTCATCCAAATGATCCGATCGAAAAAAGAAAAAGCATCACGTTTGAAGAAATTATAAATCTCCTCGTGATATTTCATGTTTTTTGTAATCAATATTTCATTAATGATATATGCAATGTTTTCCACGAGGGAAAACATCAACAGAGGATATCTACGAGGAAGATACGTAGATTGGGAGAAAAAGCAAATGAAACGTGGGATTACAGTAAAAACTCAAGGTGAAATTTCTTTTTTCGATTTTTCTTTGATATTTCTATCGAAAATGATGGAATTACGAAAATAAATACGATCAACATCAGATATCTTCTACAAAAATGATTATATTCTTAAAAAATCGACATTTATACATGTTATTCTTGAAAACTCTCCCGTGAGTTTCTTCTTTTTAGTGCTGCACACGAGACGATACTTTCGACAGTCTCGTCTCGGTCTCAAAAAATATCCAAATTTTTGGTTCCACCACTACATATTACTGGTATGTGATGTTATTGCACGTTCCATCACAAAAACTCATCACACGCCAATTCATCACAANAATAGTCAATACCGTTAATTATATAACAACATGCTGGAAACTTCCTCGATTTGCAAACACCATAAATGCTGCAATACTGCAATACTGCACGTCCATGTAGATGACCCTGAAGTTTGCAGACAAAAATTTTCAACAGAGCATCTGATAAAGAAATTGAGCAATGAGAAAATTTCAAATTTCAATTTGTCGGGTGTGTTGAAATCTAATCGTGATGGCGGCTGAATATGTAAATAAATAAATTAGGGGTCGATTTCTTCAAAATTTAACTATGGAAAACCATTGACACGGCATATCTCACTCCGGAATTATTTTATTGGAAAAAAAATATGGTCACGATTTTCATTCTACGAAATTTCAACGTGATTTTTGTCTTTTTTTTCTGGTCCTATCGGTTAACGGTAAATCCGCTGTAGAACACTAAATCGTAGGCAAGGTCCATTATTCATCCAAATGATCCGATCGAAAAAAGAAAAAGCATCACGTTTGAAGAAATTATAAATCTCCTCGTGATATTTCATGTTTTTTGTAATCAATATTTCATTAATGATATATGCAATGTTTTCCACGAGGGAAAACATCAACAGAGGATATCTACGAGGAAGATACGTAGATTGGGAGAAAAAGCAAATGAAACGTGGGATTACAGTAAAAACTCAAGGTGAAATTTCTTTTTTCGATTTTTCTTTGATATTTCTATCGAAAATGATGGAATTACGAAAATAAATACGATCAACATCAGATATCTTCTACAAAAATGATTATATTCTTAAAAAATCGACATTTATACATGTTATTCTTGAAAACTCTCCCGTGAGTTTCTTCTTTTTAGTGCTGCACACGAGACGATACTTTCGACAGTCTCGTCTCGGTCTCAAAAAATATCCAAATTTTTGGTTCCACCACTACATATTACTGGTATGTGATGTTATTGCACGTTCCATCACAAAAACTCATCACACGCCAATTCATCACAGGAACAATTCATCACAAGAACAATTCATTACAACATTATTTATCACAAAACAATTCATTACAACCGAATTTAATATGGCAAAAACTTCAAAAAAGCCACAACGTATTTTTATTTTCAAAAGCGATGTCTATATGTGCTCGTGAATTGTGAATTTAGAAACAATGATTAATGATGAGATAATGCCGCTGTTTATATTCAGTATTTATAAGTGAAAGTGCATGTGAACTTGTTGATATTTTCATCCGAGCTTTAAAATTAATCCACACAAATTCAATTTAAAATTTGTCTGTATATTTTCTCTGTTTTCGATAGGCTCCAATAAAACAAACATCTCGTTTCGTATTTACACAATAAAACTGGCTTTATTGCTCATTGATAAATTCACAAACAATCGCATTTGAAACTCAATAGCATGTTGAAAAGGCTAGTAATAAACTAAACCAGTAATAAAACTACGAAATGATGAAATAGAATGTGATGAAAAAAATATGATGAAATGAAATGTGATGAATTGTCCAGTAATCAAATGGAATGATGAGTTGTACCGTAATATGTAGTGGTGATACCAAATTTTTAGTATCGTCTCGGTCTTGGTTAAGAGAATATCGTCTCGTCTCGGTCTCGTGAGTATAAAGCTTAGAAAATAGGAAAAATAATTTTTCTTCAAAAAGTCACAAAGACATTGTCAAACTTCATCAAAGGTCGCAGGAGGATGGTCAAATTTCACGGGGGTCACGAGAGTAACAAGGGGCAGGTCAAATTTCACGAAGGTCAAACATCACGAGAGTCTTTAGAGGATGGTTCAATTTTCCGAGGGTCACGTAGGTCACAAGGGAATGGCCAAACTTCACGAGGGACATGTGGGTCAGAAGGGAATGGTTAAAGGGTCTAGCCGGATAAACATGGTGAATCTGCCCCCAGCGAATTTCAAGGCGGCAATTTTTTCACATACCGTGAGGGCGGCAGTTCTCGGATGGTTAAGGGTAACTCGGCCATCAATAACCGATTCTTCGTTGTTTTTTTCGTCAAATATGAAGTTTGCGGTTTCCATAGTCATTTTTGATGTTTTTGGGACAAGAACACGTTTGATTTTTATTAAAAAACTTCGGAATTCGATAAATATTTATTAAAACAAAACACAGCTCCGCGGATTCAGTTCTCGAACGTCAAAAATTGACCCACTTCAGTTCTCGGACGACATGAATTCAGTTCTCGGACGAAGTGAATGAGAGGGGTTTGGGAGAAGGAAAAATATAGGAAATCAATTGTAAAAAATATTTTCGACAGATCTATTCTCATTCCAATAGCCATAAACTTATTACACACTAAACGATAACCATGAATAACCATTATTATTATGAATTAAGAGTAATTGAGCCAAGAGATTTCATCAGTTTGTGAACGGAATTCTGCAATTGATCCTTAGTGACGGGAAACCCCCTATCAGCCATGTAACAAATCCATTCTACCAGTTTCTTCTCATAAAATTCTCTCACAATACACTCAGGGCCAGGTCTGTTGATGCCAGCTTTTGTCTTGCCATTTGCCTTGTCATATAAAGTTGACTTAGGGATATTATATTCTTTGCTGACTGATACCAAAGATCTTCCTGTTCTGATCATCGTCAGAGCACTTTCTAACTGCTCAGGAGTATACTCTGGTGCTTTTGATTTTCTTGGTCGCGAAAGCGTCGCAGGCCTGAAAGAGTCGAAGAATGGATGATTTTTTTTGTTATTATTCTTGGGAATCATTATTTTTTTTCAAAAACGTGAGAAGAATGTCTCCATGAAAATAAGAGCACTGACAGGGATGAACGTCTGTATGAATAAATTTAATGAAAAAATTTAGCGCTTTCTCTGAGATTTTTTTTTCAGCAATTTTAGCAACAAAAATTAATAAAAATTTAGCAGAAATAAATTCTAATATTTACACCTATGAATTTCATTAAACATCTCAAAATCTATTTACTTTTTTCAAACCGAATATCTCTTGGACAAATGAAACGGTAAGATGAACGGTATTAGATAAAATTCTATATAAATGGTCCAAAAAACGAATAGGATTTTCCAATAGCATTATAATGGATCTGGAGTTCCAAGAGAATTCTCATAGAATTCCACTAGAAATGCAATAGAATTTCTCAGAGAAAGTGTTAAGTTTTTCTGTCAAATTTCTTCATGCGTGCGATTGAGGTTAAGGATATCCAAGTAGTTCAGGCAATTTTTTCTGGGGGAAATCCCCTTCAGAGTTTATAGACTAGACCAAGAGTATTTTTCAGGTGCAGTATAAACTTTAGTTTCCGAACATATTTTCGAGAAAACTATTTTTGAAAGAATGAAATTTAACACATTGTGTCCATAAGAGCTGTATACTCCCACCTTCAATCCAATAGTTCATAGTCTTAAAGCGTTTTCTCGTACACATAACCGTATATGACTTTGTTCGTTACACTCTCTAGTTTTTTTGGGACATTAAAAAACATAGGTTTCCGGACAGATAATTGCAAACAATCAAATTAAAAGCTTCTTGATTGGGACGACGGCCATATTGGGTGGTTTGAATCCGTGCGTTCCTAACGTCTGACAACAGTCCGCTCAAGTGACTACTCGGACCGAATTTACGAGGTTATATACAACACATGTGCAGTGTTGCCGTATGATCATTAGAGGTTAGACCAACGAAAGTCAAGTGTGAAATTGAATTAAATATTTTCACAATATTCATTGAAGAAATTACTGAAAAAATGTATTCAATAATGAAAAATCCGAAA